AACATATATGTAATAATTTGATTATTTTAGCGGATTTAATTTGTTTTATTTTGTTTTAACTATTAATTAACATCTGAAATAGCAAAAAACAGATCATGTGTTTCAAATACGGGTCATGTCACTACAACAAAATCAGGTATATAGAATATTCCCAATTTCTAAGTGTCCTAATAGACCTCTTTATAAGACTTAGTTTATAGGACCAAAAAAATAAGACATCATATATAAAGACATTGTAATAAGTTTATATGACGTTTTTTTGACATCTTAATAAGTTTTTTAGGACATTTTTAATATGAAGCGTCCTATTAGCAACTTTATAGGATACTATTGGAAAAACTGTCCTATAAAAACAAATGTCCTATAAAAAATTGAGTTTATAGGACACTTTCTCAAAAGTGTCATATAAAGTTGCCAATGTGACACTTTGTATTAAAAATGTCCTAAAAAACTTGTTAAGACGCTCAAAAGTGTCATATAAACTTATTACAACACCTTTAAATAAGACGTTTTATATTTTGGTTCTATAAATTAAGTCTTATTAAGCGGTCTATTGGGACGCTTAGAGATTGGAGGTGTCCTATAAACCCAATTTTGGTTGTAGTGTGTGTTTCAAATTTGAGGCTTTTTAGAGCAATCTCTATGACTATATGAGCAAATACCAAATCTGTAACATACAATGTTTTCTAGAATTAAAACTCAAAAAAAGGGGGGAAGGGGGCCATAGCCCCCATCGGTTTCGCTGTATTGCGCCATTGCCATCCCCAAATGACAATCTCTTATGACTTTCAACTCCTTTTCAACGAGCCATTGGCGAGTAATAAAGACACCATCATTTGTATGGAGAAAGGCACACCGCAAACTATGTGCCTACATTACTTTCTTTGCACTTTTCATTCTCTTTTACTTACTTTCAAGTATCTTTCAGTGAATGATATGCTTTTGTTGGTACCAAGAGAGACAACGTGACCTTCATGAAAATGATCCTTAATTATACTATAAGCAACAACTAATAGATATATCAAAACATGTCATAATATTCATCAGTAACGTCAAGGATGTTGAGATCTTGCCAATGGAAGGCCAAGAAAGAAATTACAGCCAGTCAGAGTTTCTTTTTTGTTGAACTCAAAGAAATGCCAAGGAAAATGTAATTGTACCAAGGACAGGCCAAGAAAGAAGTAAATATGTCGCACTGATCTAGTAGGCTTATTGGGCTAAATACTAGGGAGAAGCCTTTCACGATATTCTATTATTTCTCAGTCTATCGTGAATTTGGGTAGGAGCACGAACATAACAAAAGGCAAAGACCTGGTTACGATAGTTTGACCTATTATTTTATCGAACATAATAAGGATTTATTTACTATTAGAATCCAAAAGAAGGCCTAAAAATATAGTATGTTCCATCGTGGAATGTGGTGGATTAGAGAAAGTGAGATTGTTCAACTTTTAGTGTTGATCGCTCTTTTCTTTAAAGCTTATGCTTCCTCTAATTCTTGTTTAGCCACTTTCACGTCCATCATATACGGGTTCTTTTGCAGGGACTACTTTAAGCTTATCAGGAATGTTGAGCTTAACACTATTCTTCAGTTTTCACCTTATGACCTTAGCTTGCACGTCTTGAATGAGCCTTTGTCTTGTAATAGTGCTAATGCTTCGAAAATACTTTTACTTCAAAAAAATTAGTTCAAGAAGCTTCATTGAGAAGCCCTTAATTAGTTCTTGGAATTTCTTTTTTCTTTTCTTAAGAGCTCTGACGGTCTTACAACATTTGCATTAATAATATATATACAATATTATAAAGCATTTGACAAAAACTCTTAAAAACCACTTTTTATGCGTAAAATACTGTTTATTAATGCATATTACTTAAAACTCAAGATTACAAGTAGATTGTGCATAAGTACAACTTATTAACGCTTCATATCTGAATTCGTGTAACTAACCGCAGATAAACATAATCAAATACATGATAAACAYMTCATTTTAAATATAAAAAATCTAAAATATAATTAGGATAATCATTGAGTTCTAACAGAATATTTAATTATTATCTTTATAAAATATTATATTATTAAAACAAAAATAAATTATTTCGTTAATAACTTAAATTAAATTATAATAAAAAAATAAATTAAAGAAATTATATAAAAATGAGAACTTTTAAATAGTTGATTTGTTTAACATTGATATATATATATTTTTTTAATTTTTTATGATATCTTTATATTTATATTTTATTCAAAAATAAAATTATTATTGCTTTCTTACAAACACATATTCGTATTATAACATCAACATAGACAAATAATTAAATAGAACATTAAAATCGAGATGTGTCTCGTTGCATTGCACGAGTACTCTTGTAGTATGTATATATATATATATATATATATGTATATGTATATATGTATATCAATATTGAAATAGTTTTCCTTTCCATGCATATATCCGGTCAGCCCTCTTGAATCTTGATGTCGAACCCCTAATGCATGTTGGTTTAAAGTGCTACAATTCATATTTGTGAGTCAAAAAGGTTCCTACAAAAAGATTTTGGTGGAAACAAAAATGTGAATGAAAGATTCTATTAAATTGAATTAATAAACTAAGTTAGATTTCTTGATCTTTCTCAATATATAGTAATATTAAGTACGCTCTTAATTCATATCATGTCACTAAGTTTCTCCTGATTTGTATCTTAAAACTAACAAAATTCAATTTAAGTCGAAATAATATAAAAGATTCACAAACTATGATTTTTGTCCCATCACTCAATACGCGATTAAGCCTCTTCGGGCTTGACCTTCGTCATTAGGGCTGTAAACGAACCGAACGAACACGAACGCACTACTAGAAAACCAGGTATCAGCGACGACTATCAGCGAGGGAATTTTTCCCTCGCAGATCAGCGAGGGATCAGCGAGGGAAATGACAAAAAACACATTCCCTCGCTGATCCTTCGCTGATCTGCGAGGGAAAAATTCCCTCCCTGATCCCTCGCTGATCAGCGAGGGATCAGCGAGGGAAATTCCAAAAAATTCATTCCCTCGCTGATCTGCGAGGGAAATGTTCCCTCGCAGATCCCTCGCTGATCAGCGAGGGATCTGTGAGGGAAGTTCCGAGAAAACTAATTCCCTCGTTGATCCCTCGCTAATTTGCGAGGGAACTTTCTTCTACAATTTCCCTCGCTGATCCCTCGCTGATTAGCGAGGGATCAGCGAGGGAAATCTCAAAAATCAGAATCCTTCGCTGATCCCTCGCAAATCAGCGAGGGATCAGCGAGAGAATGTGAATTTTTTTCATTTCCCTCGCTGATCCCTCGCTGATTTGCGAGGGAACTTTCTTCTACACATTCCTTCGCTGATCCCTCGCTGATCCCTCGCTGATTTGCGAGGGATCAGCGAGGGATTTTTCTATTTTTCCTATTTTCTCATTTTTATGTGTTATATGTACATATTTTTATGTGTTGATATCGTATGTATGCATGTCATGTGTTGTTTGTCTGTATATATATATATATATATATATGTTGTGGTTGCTAACCGCGATATATGAATGTGTTATAAGTATATATACCCGTCGTGAGGGAAAATGATATACATTCACATATACACATACGGAGACTTGTTCATGTTCGTTCGTTTAACTTAATCAAACAAACGAACGAACACAAACGGTAAACGAACAAAAATCTTTGTGTTCAAGTTCGTTCGTTTAGAAATCAAATGTGTTCGTGTTCGTTTATGTTCATTCGTTAACATGCTAAATGAACGTAAACGAACGGACGTAAATGAACGGGCTAAACGAACATAAATAAATATTATTTGAATTCATAGTAAATAAACAAGAGATTATATATTAGATTTAGTATATAAATGAACATAAACGAACGAGACTCTTGTTCATTTTCATTCATTTAACTAAACGAACAAAAAATTTGATCATGTCCGTTCATTTATTAAATAAACAAACATAAACGAACTTCCCGCTGAACGGTTCACGAACAGTTCGTTGAACGTTCGGTTCATTTAGAGCCCCATTCGCCGTGACAACAAAAAAAATGTTAAGGATTTAAGCGTCTCCCAAGATTTCTATATATAACATCCATGATGTCATCACATCAATATCATAACCTTGAGCCATACTAACTTGATTTAACGTTCCATCAAACATACTCTTACATCTATCCAAAAATTCAAAACATTTTTATTTCACATTGCAAGGTTGCAAATTAAACAGCTATGCAATCTTAGTTTTCCCATATACATATAAATATATATATATATATATATATATATATATATATAATTTGATTGAAATTGACGGCGGGAGTAGCGGTTATAAACCTAAACCCCACCCCAGCTAACCCACGTTGGGGAGACAAGCTTTCACCTTCACTGTTCCAGAAAATGGTGGTTTCACAGGTCACCGTTGGGTCCCCAATGGCTGGTTGCCAGCTTTCTCAAAGCCCCCACCCTCACCAATCATTCAATGCCAACCTAACTCTTCTATTCAATTCTTTCTAATCAAAACTTATACATATACAATCAACTCTTCTTAATCAAAATAAATATATCCATTACATGCTGTCACCCCAATCACCATTATGCAACTTGCCTTCATTATAACAATTTTTTAATATACATGATTCTTCATTAATTATATATATTTATACATCAAATACTAAATAAATCTATGTATACAACAAATAATATCAAACAATATGTATTCTAGTTGCAAATAAATTGTTGGAAACTAGTTTGAAATTTTAAAACCCAACTTATAAAACAGTCAAATACATATATATATATGTATACATATATATGTATATGTATATGTATATATATATGTGTGTGTTAGTGACAAGTATTAAACCCATATATAATTAAGGATTCAAAATATTATGAATGATTAGGGAAAATGGGTTGAGTTGTAATAAAAGGGTGAGGTTGGGGACAGAAGTGGGAAAGGAATAAAATAAGTGATATGGTTGTGAGAAAGCCCTTATAACACACACTTAGTGACTCCACTTCTTCTTCATCAACAATTAAAACACACACAAATTCACTTCCTTTTGAGTTTCTTTCTTTCTAATTAAAGGTATCTTTTTTTTTTCTCTTTCTTTTTCTGTCTAAACTTTATATATATATACATATATATATATATATATATATATTGTAAGTAAGTAATTAAGGATTTTGTACGTATAGGTTGAGTTTGAAATCAATCCATCAAACAGAAGAAACATGGGTTACTGGAAATCAACAGTCGTACCAAAGTTCAAGAAGATCTTCGAGAAGAACAGCACCAAGAAAACAGCTGCTGCTGAAGCTTGCAAGTCCTTCGATGATGCCAAGGTCTTTTAACAACTTACGATTAACCAATTGGTTAATTAATCTATTGTTTTTCGGTTCTTGATTTCTTTCAATTACTCTCTCTATATGTATATATACACATACAATATATATGTATTCATATATGCATGGCCATGCAGGAAGAGTACACCAAAGAGTTTGAAGAGAAGAAGACTGAACTCCATACTAAAGTTACTGAAATCTATGAAGCTTCTGCTACTGAAATCAAGGTCCCATCTCCTACTAATTTAATTTTAATTTTAATTTTAATTCCGTTTATTCTTATTTAACATTTAGACTATGAAAATCTAACAGGCGTTGGTGAAAGAACCCAAAGAAGCATCCCTGAAAAAGAACTCTGCTGTGGTCACCAGCTTCCTTGAAGAACTCTCGAAAATCGGTACTTATCGTGTAAATATTCAATCTTATGCGGATTTAGGGTCGAATTATATGACTAAACTTGATCTTTAAATACATAGAATTCCCTGGCTCGAAACCAGCTCATGAAGCATGTAGCAAGTTCGGACCAACCTTGGTTCAGGGACCTATTTTCTTTGTATTCGAGAAGGTGTCAACGTTCATAGTGGTAGAAGAGAAGGAAACAACAAGCAGTAAAGAAAAGGACGTGGTGGTGGAGGAAGAGAAGAAAGAAGAGGCGGCCGCCGCCGAGGGTGAGGTGGCAAAGACGGAGGCGGAGGAGGTGGTGGTAGCTCCGGCTGAGCCACCAAAGACAAGCTGATATGATCCAATCCAGCCAGCATCAATCTGTCATGTGTGAAGATGCCAACTATTTGATAAACTTTCATTTTTCAAAAAATCCCTTTTTGTATTCATTATCTTTAAATTCTACACTTGCGTAGTTGATCTTGTATTCATATATGTGTTACAGCTTTTGGTGTATCTATATAAATATATATATATATATATATATAATTCTTTATTTTTCAAGATTATCATCATATATTTATGAATCATATCATGATGTTGTTCGTCGTATTTCTTCGTCCTCATCCACCATCTCATCGTTGCCATCACGACCACCATCATCTCGTCATCTTCGATAAAAACAAAATGAAAATTAAACATAAACATAAACGACCTTAGATTTTTCATTCTTTTTGTCGTCGATGCTTTAGAACATCAAAAATAGAATCCAAATTAAAAGCTATTGTTGTTTTTTTCAACCTTTTCGTAAAATATTGGATTCCCTATTTTGGAAAAATCTATAAGAAAAATAGGATAAAAAAGAAATTGAACACAAAATATCTTATCTGATGAATCTACTTCAAAGTTGCCACCATCAACAACCACTACACCGCCATGGATCCAAATTGAACTCCCAATATGGACCATGAAATGAAAACCAAAATCAATACCAAATTAAAGATAAATTAATCGTGGTTTTTTGGAAAATTATTAAACCAAATTAATTTTAAAAAAATCACAAAGTAAATTGACATATAACAATCAAGTTAAACCTACGTGTGACTTCACGTTCATTGAGGGTGACACAAGCTAATGGGGACAATGAAGGGGCCGATGGTTCGTAGTTTTTACTACGTAAAAACATGTTGGATCGATTTTTATAATTCACTCTAGTAATATGGAACTGTACACGTGATGGATTTTGTTATAATCGTTAAAATTGTTAATTTTCCCATCAAGTATTAAAACAATTTATGTTTTTTTGTAAAAGTGCTTATTAACTTATATGATATTAAACCGAAGTTTTGTAAAAAGTGTTTGGATTAGCTTATAGCGGTACCAAATTGCAATAAGCTGATAAGTTGTTTTTTAATGTTTGACAAATTTTGCTTATATCTATAAAATGACAAAAAAAAAAACAGTGTTATTGATTTATGGGAGTGTTTGGGATTGCTTATTAACTTATTTGATTTTTTAACATATAAAAATTTGTTTTTCATCATTTATAATAATATCTATGACAAAAATTTATATCAATAAGATTAATAATTTGTATCAATAAGAATAATTAACAAACATTTATATCAATACCATTAATAATTTATGATGAAAATAATAGATTTATAACCAAAATATCAATAACAAAAAAATGTCAACTTTTATAACCAAGGCATGTGTTTGGATATTAGAAAACTACTCAAGCTTCCAAATTTTTGTCCAACAGTGTGCCTAAATTTATTACTGTAAATTCAATGGTTTAGAYGTTGAACTTTGCTTGCTTTGTTTGAAATTATATGTTTGTAGAATCTCATAATAATAAGCACTCTTTGACAAAAGAAAAACGATGAACAAGAACAGAGAGGCTTCAGCTTTGGTGATTATAGCAGTTGAGAAAAACGATGAACAAGTAAAAGCTAATCCCTAATTAACATTGGTAAAAATTAAAAATTGAAACAGATCCAAACACCAATTTTTGGAAAAAAAACAATAGAATATACTAATGAGAAGTCCGAATTCATCAAATCCCAAATTACAACGAGATTAACGGGAGGGAAATCAAGGACTTACACAGTATCGTATCTACGTCGACATATCTGTTCGTATTGGTGGGTTAAGGTATCGATCTTTGTTTGTATTGGGTTAGGGTATCGATCTCTGGGGTTAGGGTAGAATCGTATCGGTTGTGTACAATCGTATCTGTTCGTATTGGTGGGTTAGGGTAGACGATGATGGTTTTGTGAAGAGATATATATGGAGAAGAGATATCGTTGATGATGATGATGATGATGATAATCGGAAGGGTAGACGATGATGGTTTCGTGAAGAGATATCGATGATGATAATCGGAAGGGTAGACGATGATGGTTTC